TGTTTGAACAGAAGTGATGAAACGTGTGTGTATGAGTTGATACTCGTACTAGTTCACTGCTCCTTCTCGTCTTGTCTTATCTAGTCTTTTTGTTATAGCAACGTAGACTGTAGGCATCAGCCAGTCGTGTTGAGGGCGTCCAACTTTCCGAGTCTTTGTCCAGGCCTCCAAGAGGGACCAGCTCCAAGAGTTTGCCCCCAGACCTCCATCATGACCGCCTCAGGGCCAAAGTAACATCCAAGTCCCGACCCGCCGTTCATTATAGATCTACTGAACAAAAAAAGTAACTACATATCTTGTCTGTACATTTAGTCTGACAGAAGCAAGTTTTGGTATTAATTCATTTTTGCTGTCCAGATCATTTTTCTTACCCACAGCTCACGCTGCTGGAGAAGCGCGTCTCATTACGCCAATCTCAAACTACCGCTGTGCGGAGCACCAGTACAGTAGGCACTAAATGAAAAAGTCTAATACAGGGAGAAACAAGCTGTTCGCGTTCTGATATTCACTGCGAACAACCACTACATCAGAGGCAGAGCTTCATCCCATTTATTCAACTTTTGAAAAATTGCAGCGAAGTTCATTATTCCTACTCCCTAACAAGCCAGAAGGCAGTGATGTTACCGACTCACAGGAGATGGAAATTTTCCGTATTGTATTCCTCTGGTATTGTGAAAGGAGAGTGTGTTTACAGCAACAGGGTAGTAGGAACCTAATCGTTGACGTCACCGCATTGGTTTGGGAGTACCCGTTTGAAAGCCCTCCAGTTTGCCGCCGCCCAGACCAATTGTCAGAACCAAGTGATGGTGACTATGCGAGTTGACTGCTCTCCATTGGCCCCTGCCAATTTGACTCCTGTACCAGGAAAACAGATGGCGGCTCGCCTGCCACACCCATAAATCTTAAAATGTTTTGGAAACAACTTAGGAATAAATAGTCCACGGCAGAACAGAATCCGAATTCATATCTGACAGCAACCCTGCCCCTTTTTTGTTAGTTTGACAGTTTGACCTGAGTTTGGGTGCGTTGAGCCGGAACGACTCACGAGAATGACCTGCAACAGAAGGGGGACCCCCGCCTTAAAAGCAATACCCCTGCTTTATGGTCCAGTTTACTCTAAATGGACCCCAATCATTACAAATGAACATCATGCTGAGGAAAGAAGATCTGAAACTAGAGACGAACCATAAATCCCCTGTCTTGTAAGTTCAAGGGGTTTAAGCTCTCATTCTGACAGGATTCATAATCCAACAATTCAATTCAATTCAGTTTCAGTTTTAATTGTATATGCCCGCAATCAAACCCAGACAATATCTTTTCAAATAGAGCAGGTCTTCCTGCCATTATGAGTCTAATTGTGATGTTTTCAGGGTCATATTTCCTCTCAATGGGTTTTAAGCTCTTACTGGCACAGGGTTGTCTCTCACATGATTTCTTTTGGTTTCAAAAATGGTAAATTTTGTGTCACTGCATCCGAGGAAGTGTTAGCCAACCAACTGTGGCAAAACGCGTCTGTCTTTACCTGATGATGAGTCGTGATTGACATGGTAATATTCAAATATTCTGGTAATTGACATGCATTTTATTTTGATGTTTTTTATTCTTGTGAATTCTTTAGCACATATACATATAAAAATAACTACATTGTAAATTACAAAACCATTAATCCAACCATTGGCAGTACCACAGACTTTGCAGCCTACTTGGCTAGTGTACAGCATCCATGGAGAGAGGAGTTAGTGTTGTGACAGGAATCCTCTCAAAACGATTGTCCATCTACTAAATGTGGATTAAAGAGAATGTTTATTTTTAAACCAACATACGCTATTTGGTTCACTTACAAATGCAAATAAAAACAGAAAAATACCAATTTCTAGACTTTATTATGCACGACAGGATTTTCTCTGGAGGCTTTGCCCAGAGAAAGCTAAATTAACACTGTATGATCTCTGTGTGTGTGTGTGTGTAGACCCCACAGCAGGCCCTTCAGCCTCTGACCAGAGCACCTGGTATTTGGATGAGTCGACCCTCAGCGACAACATCAAAAAGACTCTGCACAAGTTCTGTGGGCCTTCACCTGTCGTCTTCAGGTACACACTCCTGGTCTCACATAACAGTCCTTGACACATTTCTTAAAGGCTTTAGCTTAACTTCAGAGTTAAAGTTGAATGCATCTAATCCAGTGTTATCCACAGTGATGTAAACTCCATGTACCTGTCATCCACCGAGCCGCCGGCCGCCGCTGAGTGGGCGTGTCTGCTGCGACCTCTGAGGGGCCGAGAGCCAGAAGGCATTTGGAACCTTCTGTCCATAGTCAGGGAGATGTTCAAGAGACGAGACAGCAACGCCGCCCCGCTGCTTGAGATCCTCACTGAGCAGTGCCTCACCTATGAACAGGTATGTCCTCAAAGTGACACCAGCTCCAGATGCTAAATATAAAACCACTAACTTAAAAAGTTAGAGATGGTAGTAAATAAGTGAAATGTATTTATGTAGCACCTTTCACAGACGTAAGTCACAAAGTGCATACATCGTTGTTGTTTACTGCTATATTAAACTGCTATTATTTAAATCTCATATGCAACTTTTAAATACACATGACATACTGTACGTTCTTTGAGACATAAACACCTCACTGAGTTGTCTGATGTGTGTTCAGATAATCAGCTGGTGGTACAGTGTTAGGACTTCAGCGTCCCACAGCAGTGCCAGTGGCCACACCGGGCGCAGCAACGGCCAATCAGAGGTTGCGGCTCACGCCTGTGCCAGCATGTGTGACGAGATGGTGGTTCTATGGAGGCTGGCAGTGCTCGACCCCACTATGAGCCCCTGCAGGTCAGACCACTGGCATCAGCCTACACACTGTTAATGGATTTCTTCAACTATCACAAAATATGGTCATGAAATATGATAATTCCCATTGGAAAGTTATGTAATATCAGCACATTTATCGCTTAATGATTGCATTACACAACGTATTTAAGATGAAAGTATATTAAATAGACACTGAAGATGTATATGCTCTATTCCAGGCGCCTGGAACTGGCAGGTCAGCTGAAGCAGTGGCATCTGAAAGTTATAGAGATAGTGAAGCGGGGACAACATCGCAAGTCCCTGGATAAATTGTTCCAGGGCTTCAAGCCCGCTGTGGAGTCCTGCTATTTCAACTGGGAGGTGGCCTACCCACTGGACGGCATCACCTACTGCAGCGCTGATAAGAAGAGTGCCACATTCTGCTGGTCCAGGGCAGTGCAGCTCCAAAGAGGAGCCAAAGCTGCTGCTGCAGCAGCGGGTGGAGAACCGTCTGAACCAGGGGGAGGGGTGAGAGTCGAAGGTGGAGCAGGGGGAGATTACAAAGGAAGAGGTGGTGGTCATTCGTCCCAACAGGAGGTGGCAGTGCGACCCAAGGAGACCATACTGACCAAGAGGAAGGGTCTGTCTGTGAGTGGAGGGGGAGGGATGCTGGTCCGTCTTGGAGGGAGCGTATCTCTGTCCCTGGAAGACGGAGGAGGGAAGTGCATGTACAAAGGGCCGGGCTCCTCCTCTGGAGGGAAGCTGAAACTGACGCAGGGAGGTGGGAAGGGGGCATCTGTAGGAGGTCCTGGAGGTAGTGGAGGGTTAGGAGGTAAGCATGCCAGTGCCAAGCGGAGAACCAGCAGTGAGGACAGTTCCCTGGAGCCGGACCTGGCTGAGCTCAGCCTGGACGATGGCTGCAGTCTAGCTCTGGGGGCTGAGGCCAGCAACACTTTTGAGTTTCTCCCCCCACCGCCAGAGATGCTGCCCTCCCCGAGCCCCCTGCTTCGAGACTCACGCAAGTACAGCAGCAGCAGCGGTGGGAGCAAGATGTTTGAAGCAAAGCGTGTCAGCCATGCCTCGGCTACACTTCCTGCGGCAGAGCCTGCTCCACCTTGCTTCCCTGCCAAAGAGACAGTGGTGGTTGTTATGGACATGCCCAACGCTGTAGAGAAGGAAGCAGAGCTGGACGTGGAGCCTGTCCAGAGCAGGGATGAAGACGTAGACTCAGCCGGCAGTAACCAGCCTTCCACCTCCAGCACTACGGCAAGATCAGGTACCACTGAAACATCCGCCAAGCTGCCACAGGGCCGCAGAGAGGCAGCACCTGCTGGGGCAGCAGCCGCAGGAGGACTAGCTAACCAAGGAGCAGAAGTGGCAGGAGAAGCTGTGGGTGAGGATGACTATCAGGCATACTACCTGAATGTTGCCTCAGAGGAGGGAGCAGACAGACAGCTGGTGGACAACCACCAGGAGGAGGAGCCAGACATCTTCGCAGGGATGAAACCGCTGGAGCAGGAGGGGCGCATGGAGGTAAGGTTTGTGCTGGTGTTCACAGCCGGAGCTGACAATGTCAGTACTGTAATTTGACTGGTTCAATATCTGTTTGGGTGGGCACTAAAAATAGAAAATGTTAGCTGTCACGCAGCCATTACTCTATGATTCTGCACAGGGCAGCTAACAGGTAAGGTCACAATTACCAGTAGGTAATCTATGAGTTTTGACACCTGCCATCACCACATCTCGACCCATGAAAGAGACACAGCTCATGTTGGCAGATTACTGTCATGGCCCCAAAGCCCATGCACAAGAACAACTAATCGCATGCCTACATTTGCAGGTAAGGCCACAATGCAGGACAGTGAAAGACAAACACAATGCCATTAAGAACATGGCAGTTTGGAGTTGGAGTGCTGCATACAGCTTCCTTAATTCTCTTCCAAATCTCTTCAAATAAGTGGTTTGGATAATTGATCGCATGTTGCTTGCCTGTCCAACCGTCTTTACAGCAAAGCTTGTGAATAAACTGTTACTTTAAAGGTCTCCTCCAGACATGTATTAATACATTTATACAAATAGTCTTTTGGTGATATGTTTTTTCTGCAAAGAAATGCAATTTCCACATTAAAAATCTACTCCTTTTCCTTTTACTTAAATTCCACACCTGACTGGATCTAAGGCCATTTCACAATATCGCTTCCAGACTCAGTGGCCCAGTGCTCTTTGTCTCACTGACCTGAATTCTGTGTGTGCAGGTGCTGTTTGCGTGTGCCGAGGCCCTCCATGCTCATGGCTACAGTAACGAGGCGTGCCGGCTGGCCGTGGAGCTGGCCAGGGACCTGCTGGCCAATCCACCCGACCTGAAAGTGGAGCAGCCACAGACAAAGGTTGCTACGGCCACAAGTCCCACCCCCCACTGGAACACATTCTCCTATGTCCTTTGACTTCTCTTCTCTCCTTCTGTTGTACAGTCTCAATCTTCCAAACTCATCAGTCAGCATCTTGAACTATGTAGTGGGATATTGAGCCTTTCTTCATGAAGGAAAGACATCAGATTCTTCTAATATCTGTTCTATATTGGCATCATTACTGTGCCAATTTGTAAAAGAGCAACAAATATAAACTTCCCTGAAATTAAGATATTCAAAGTGTGAATCTGCTCGTCAGAAGTAAAGTTTTGTTTAATGTTCTGACGCCATTATTATTTCTCTGGTTTTAGGGTAAGAAGAGCAAGGTGTCGACCAGCCGTCAGACGCAGGTAGCCACCAACACGCTGTCCAAAGCCGCCTTCCTCCTCACTGTTCTCAGTGAACGACTGGAGCTTCACAACCTGGCCTTCAGCACCGGCATGTTCTCCCTGGAACTCCAGAGACCGCCGGCGTCTACCAAAGCTCTGGAGGTCTCTCACTCTCACATAAATACACACACATACTGTATGCACAGGTACTTACTTAAAAATATAAAGATTAGTAGTATTGAATGGTTGTAGAGTTCCATTTATTTATTACACTATAAAACACTGTAGTTTGAATGCATTCTTTATCTAACGATATCCAGTGAATGCAGAAGTGTACATGCATTGTAAAAGGTTGTACCGTCCATTAGCATCATTAGCATTTGAAGCCTGCTGTTAAATATACAGTAGGCCTATATCTCTGCATTTCATACATTTCTGTGAAGAAAACTAAATGGAATTGTTATTTTTAAGTTAAGGTTATTTTAAACGTAAAAGAAAAAATCTGACAATGCAAGGGAGTGGTAAAAAAACCTGAACACAAGCTACATTCACAGAGCCTTCACTCTGATAAACAGCCTTGTCCTGCCTTAGAAAAGTACACAGTTATAACAGCCAAAGAGCTAATAGAGCAATGTGAATAGAATGCTGAATTTGTCAAACAATAACCCTATAAGTATTGTTTGTTAAAATTATAAATACTGCTGAAACTATCATAAAAAAGGAAGTAACAGGAAATAATCTGCTCAAAATTCATCGAAATCTTTTTTTACGCAAACTTTCTGCAGTTATTGTGTTCACTGTTTGGGTTCAGTTTATCAGTTGTTCTCTACTGTTTTTGTTACACATTGAATATAATATGAAATATACATAAAATATGTCACTTAGGTCAGTTTACTCACTGATAGAAAAGGGGTTCCTTAAGGAAAAAGGTTGGGAACCAGTGGTGTAGAGAATTTTCCTCCGCAATGCAACTAAATGGCCACAGTAGAATCTGATTGTGCCGGGTCTGATTTGGTCCGATTCCCCTTGAAATTAATAAAATGAGGTGGTAGAAACACTACCACTTTTGTCCACATGGGCCGCCAGAATCAACACAAAAGGAAAGTTCCTTGTAGGGACTTTATTTAATCGCTTCACACCTAATTTCATGCCATTTTTTTTTTTAAACCTTTCCAGGCTATTAGTACTGTTTTAGTCTGATGAATTTTCATCAACTTTCTCTTCATGTACTCAAGCAAACTTCCAGGTGTTTCCTGTCCTTCAGTTTACAGAGAGTCTGATATTTCAAATGCACTTCCCAATGGCAATATATACCTGGCCCATTGACCCATATCTGTAATAAACATGCTCAGAGCTGGCTGCTGGCACAGAAACAAGTAAACAAAAAAGAAACCGCGATACATACAGATTGCAAGGCAAAAGTACCGAACGGGTTTCTCCTACAGACACTCCATGCATGTCTAGTGTATATGCTTATAGAATGTGGACACATGAACGTGTGCCACACATACTGACTGCTGTGTATGCGTGTTTGTGTTGACCAGGTAAAGCTTGCCTACCAGGAGTCGGAGGTGGTGGCTCTGTTGAAGAAGATCCCTCTGGGCCTGGTGGAGATGTCGGCCATCAGAGAGAGAGCAGAACAGCTCAGAGACGGGAACTTCTGTGATTACAGACCTGTGCTGCCTCTCATGCTAGCCAGCTTTATCTTTGACGTGCTGTGTACCCCAGGTAAGCACCAATTATTGTTTGATCAGTGGGATTTAACATTTGAAGTTTAAGATTTCAAATGTTGAACTCACCTTGTGTAGTTTCAGCAGTGACGACTGTGTCTTTTACTTATTTAATAAAAAGGAAGATAGCTATCCAGATAGTTTGGAAGATAGTTTTCTCTGTAGATGTTGGGGATATAAGTGACAACCTTGCAGTTATTTTCACAGACAAATTAAGACCAATTAACTTAAAGTTTTCTAATATTTTGTAATTTTTTTTTAGCATTTCTGCCTTTATTTGGCAGTTGGGATAAAGACAAGAAATGTAGGGGCAGAGACATTCAACAAAGGTCCCCAGCTGAAATTAAACCAGTGACGTTGCAGTTATATAGTATGTGTTTTAACCACTATCATCCCAAACAAGATAACTTTCTTAAATAGCTTATTTTTGCAGTGCAATACCTGACCAAATACTCTTTTTGAGTATACTGCCTGTTGGACAAGTTGCAGCTCAGAGTGACGGAAGAAATTTGTTTTTAAGACCTAAATTAAGACATTTTAAATGGGAACTACAATAATTCACATCCCTTTTACTTTTCTCCATATTGTTTGTGCAGTTGTGTCCCCAACGGGTTCCCGTCCACCAAGCCGCAACCGCAACAACGAGATGCCCGGTGATGAAGAGCTGGGCTTTGAGGCTGCTGTTGCTGCACTTGGTACATTTATTCTCACCCCGCTCCTTCATTTCTGTCTGGATCTGTTTCTCAGTATCCTTTTCTCTCTCCTCACCACTTTTCACATCCCCTGTCTTTGTTTATACTGTCCACTGCACCTTATTCCTGCTGTATACCCTCCTCGTGTCAACCCTCTGTCTGTGTACGCAGGTATGAAGACCACAGTTAGTGAAGCGGAGCATCCGCTGCTGTGTGAAGGAACAAGACGGGTGAAAGGTGACCTGGCTCTGGCTCTAATGATCACCTATAAGGATGACCAGAGCAAGCTCAAGAAGGTAGACTTCACTACTCTGACCATTCTGACCATTTGATAAGAACAAATACCTGATATGACTGATAAATGTGAGACAGATTCTTCCAGTAAACCAGGCAGAGATATTTTCATGCTGTCGTAGAGAAGCCCATTGGCTTTAGAAGTAGGATATGAGCAAGGCTGTGCCTGGAGAACGGTGCATTTAGTACTTGCACTACTTATAAACCATTAAAACTCACAAAGAAAATAACAGTTTGTGGGCTGGGGTAAGACAATTTAGCTTCAATTCATAAAACTGCCATCAAAAACCTAGCCACTGAAAGACTGTTATGGGTCTTAAAACTAGAAAAAAATGCCAAATATGTAAGCAAGTTGTGCTTATTACAGACAATGAAACAGCAGTTGTGTAAAATAAGTATTTTGGTCAGTTTGTTGAGCTGAATTGAAGAATGTAAAAGTACCTTTAATCTTAAACTAATAATTAGCAAAAATAAATCTTCCTATAAGACACAATTTATTAAAACAGCATAATAAAAATAGGTGACTGTCTTAAATGAAGGCAGCGGAAGCATTCCTATTTTTTAGCATTTTGTATTAAAACAGTGAAAAACAGCTGCTTAATTTCCAACACTGGAGACTACTTTCTCTTGTGCAAGTGGTCTTCCTCTTAAAATAAGGAAAATAATCTTGTTCCTCTGCTGGGATATTATGCAAACCATTGTTGGAACTAAATCAAGCTCAATATTAGCTGTAATATCTTATTAAGACAAGTTACTTTTCTAATGCAAAACATGCTTGACAAGATTATTATTCTTTTAAGCCAAAAAATAAGACCCAGAAACAAGGCTTTTATGCTTGAGATTATTTTTTTTTTTGCAGTGCAATAAACAATAAAAAGATAATAACAATTCCAATCAATATGTTTAGCAATTAGATCTTGGAATGTTAAAATGTTTTAGAAGCAAATTTTAGCGAGTATTAGTGGCACAGTAACAGAAAGCATAATTGTGTATTAATGTTAGGCAGCTGAAGGCTGAATAATACACATATGATAATATCCTGTAAATAATCCAGCTTTCAGTAATGCAAAGTAATGCATTCAGTAATGCAAAGATGAGTGCAATTAACAATAATTGAAATTATTGCAACATCTTAACGTTTGTGGATATTGTTTCTCTTCATTTCGGCTAATCTCTACAGTCGGTGCTGCGCAGGAAGGTAGGATACCCACACTTTCACGTAGGTGTTCATTTCAGAGCCTATTCTTACCTTAGAATTTAATGCAGGTACTCAAATATGAAAATTACTTTAAATGCCCTCCCTAGACATCATCAATAGAGAAATGAAATAATCTCCCACATACTGGGAGGTAAACAACATTCAACAGAAGATGCACCTATAGCAGAAAACATGTTCCAAGTATGGTCCCAAGAGCTATTCATGCATAAAGTTATATTTACTCTGTGATATCTGAATCAGGGAGGAAAAATAGTGTGTACGCTGTTCTTGACAACAACATATAAACACAGTCATCCCACACATACAGTGATTAGTCTGAATGGTTGACTTACTCTAACTCTTACATTGTTGTTCGGGATTGGAGACCTACCTTCCTGGGTTAACCAGGAAGAAGCCTAAAGAAGCCACACCAAGTGGTTCAACAATCCAGATGTTCTATTCGGTTTCCTAAAAACAGTCTCTTTACCCCTCCTCTCATCCTCAGATCCTGGACAAGTTGTTGGACAGGGAGAGTCAGACCCACAAGCCCCAAACCCTGAGCTCCTTCTACTCCAGCAAGCCGGCAGCTGGCAGCCAGCGCAGCCCGTCCAAACACACTGCCGCCAGCCACGGCGGGGTGAGCGGGGCCACTGGTGGTGTCTCCAAACACGCGCCCTCGTCTTCGTCTGCAACCACTGTGGCAGCCTCTTCTACCAGCTCTTCCTCTGCTGTAGTGCTGGCTGGCGAAGAGGTGGCTCATCAGGCTGAACTGAACCCAGTGCAGAATAGTTCAGCAGGAGAGAGTACTGCTGAGACCAGGGAGCATGGTGAGAGCCTCGCACCCACTCTGGGAGCCATTATTTAATAAAGCAGCTTCATATTTTAAAAACAGTAAAAAATAGAATGAAATACCCAACAATACAACAAGATAAAAAGGGCTAGGGGGTGAAATAAACCAATAAAACAGATTAAACATACTTTAGTCTTGATGCAGGATTCAGGAGCAGTCAGAGGAGTCCTGCTTAAGGATCTGAGGCTTCACTCTGGCTCTTTGAGGAACAGCAGCAGCAATATAGCTGAAAGTCAGAACATGCAGTGCATTAAAAGTAGCCAAGATTGCTGTGTTCCAGCAGTAGTCAGTGAGAAATTCAAGTTCTTTACTTAGTTTTCAGTTCTGAAACCTAGAAATGCTATGCATTAGGTAATCACTCTATTGTACTGAGTTTTCTTTGATCCTTTCCTCGCAGTATCAGAGGGGCCTCCTTCATCAAGTGACCAGCAGAATGAAACAGCTCCATTTAAGCTGGAGGCCACAGTGCCCAGTCGGCTGGCACTGGGGGCACGCTGTGGATACAGCCAGCGCTGCTGGGGCTCACCTGTCCGGCAGAAGAAGAAACACACCGGTAAAGACATTTTTTACACAGAACTCAGACTGACACTATCATCATTTGGAACTACCTGTATTTTCATATTTGTCTGTGTTTTGTGTTTCTGGTCGTCAACCTCTGGCCAGTGCACAGGGTATGAGGTCAGGACTCAGAACCCACAGCGTGCATTCACACAAAATCCGGCAATGTGGCTTTTTCCCACAGGGTTGTGCGGAGGTGTGGGCATTTTTATTTGTCCTTGAGAACATAACCGTCGTGTCAGAAAATAAAGTTTTATTTCTCTGATTCATGGCTTGATTCTCGCTAGCGCCACTCCCTCTCTTCATTCACTCTCTAGCTCGCTCAACTACCACTGTGCCCTCTCTCTCTCGCTTGCTTGTTGAGCCAGGACTGAGGGGCAAATTATCTCTACTGTTTCAGAGAATCAATGTAACTTATATGGGCATTGTCAGACAGGCAGTGGTGAGTCATATGTATGGTATTTCTGACTGGGCACATACAGTTTTTATCCAGAAATGTAACATGTACTAAAACAGCCTCACATCAAAAATGAACCAACACATTGTAGTGTTGTGAATGCGATGTGCCCGTTATTTGGACAGGCATGGCGAGCATCGACAGCAGTGCTCCAGAGACGACCTCAGACAGTTCCCCCACTCTCAGCCGGCGGCCGATCCGGGGCGGCTGGGCAGCAACGTCTTGGGGGCGGGGCCAGGACAGCGACAGCATCAGCAGCTCATCATCTGATTCACTGGGCTCCTCCTCCTCCAGCGGCTCTCGCAGGGCAGGGGGCGGAGCCAGGGCCAAGAGCACCGACACCAGCAGGTAAACGCAAACTCTTCCTCATATCTGGGTTAATAATAGTTTGAATTAAAAACTTTTAAAACTAATGCTGTCTGTTAACAGAAGTGTAATTATGACTGCTGCTGACTCGCAGGCAGTCAACTCCCAGCAAGCTTTGCTCACCTGCGGGGTATTTTGTAATGGAGGGTTTATGCTTGACAAGGGGTTAAGTGGAGGTTGTTGTTTATAGTTTAGCATCTTATTTGACCTATTGATGTTGACACCACAACAGCAGACAGATGTATCGTACATGATCAGGCCATATCCTGTTTTTAATCATATTCCCCGCAGTAACTGTGTTTACATTCTTTCATTGACTTTGTGATACAGAGCGATGGTGGTCTATGAACATACATATAGAACTGGAGTCGTATCCAGGTAACTTCCATTTCTCCTTGTCTCATTACTTCTTTCATTTACTTTGATAGAGAGCGGGGGGTCGCAGTGAAACGAAGGCTCGTGGTAAAAATGTATTTGCTAGATATGTGTTACTGAAAAAGAAAATATTAATGAGCCTTTGTTCAACCTTGTTAACACTGACTACGTTTACATGCACAAAATATTCAGTTTTTTTGTCCCTTTATTATGAAAAAGACAGTATTCCCACTAAGCTGTTTATATGGCTAATGGAAATGAATATACCACTGATATTCCTCTTTACATGCAGCTGTTACTCTGATTGACCTAACTGTTAATGACATACTGGATGTCCTTCAGGGGAATTTCTCTCCTTTTCAAACTGCAGTCATGTTGCTTCCATGGTAAAAGTGGAACAGCTGGAGCCATTTGAGGCATTTTGCCTTTTTTAAGTTTCCCTCCTTCTTGGAAAAGGTTGGCGTACTTGTGTGCGGGTTTCTAAAAACCTGTTGATATCCAAGTCATAATGTTTAACAGTAGGTGTGTTTGTCCTTCCGACCAGAAATGTGGGCTTTTCTTTTGTGCACCAGGTAGGCAGTGTGTCGCAAACTGCAGTAAAAACCCCAAATGAGACACATTCCAAACGTGCTATATACATGTCCAAAGCATGCTCCTTAAACCTGAATAGTATAAAAGTGATCCATTTGGAATAAGGCTTAATTAGGAATATCCAAACAGAACAAACTTTTTACATAACCCTTATCAAATGCATTGTTAGAATTAAATAATATAATTTTAATACAGTGCATATGTACATGGTAGTGTGCATGTAAATGTAGTCCGTGTTTTCACTCTCAACAAACTCCAGCATCAGAAACTTGTACACCTCAACACCCTAGTTGACCAGTCACAGCTCTATCAGCAGCTGCTGTAGCCCCAATTTGTAGGCGCACGTTAGCTACGGCGTACCTACGTGAGGAAAGTGGTGGTCATTGCTTAAAGGATGACTTGAAACTACAAAACCTATGTGATTAAACCATTCCAGAATGCTAATTCAAAAGTCAAGATAACCACTGAACATGTTCAAAACTGTGAAACACAGACATCAGATGTCAACTATTGATCACATCAGTTTACAATGGCAAAGACATATATCATCAAAGAAACTGTTTCATATCCTACTGTCAGGATATAGTGAAAGTTTCAGCAAATATAAGTTACCTACTGCAGCTTTAATCAGCTAATCATTTGATTAATTGATTAGTTTTTTGATCCATTTAAATCATAAAAAATGTTGATCAGGGTTTCCCAAAGCCAAAGTTGACGTCCTCAAATGTCTTCTTTTGTGGCCAACCCAAAGATATTCAGTTTACTGTCATAGAGGACCAAAAAGACCATAAAATATATTATATTTGAGAAGCTGGAATCAGAGAATTTGGACATTTTTTATTTAAAAAATGACTCAAAGTAATTAATAGCTGACAACTAATTGATTAATTGTTGCAGTTCTACCACCCAATGACTTTGGTTTGCAGGTAATCTCAGCAATCTTGTCATCTGGGAAGTTATATAATGCCATATGATGGAAATAATTTTAAATACCCTTCCGATTTGTTGTCTGCTGCTCTTATGCTCTCAGTAAATTATTGAATTGATGTCCATTTACAAATTATAAAATTACTACTTTTTAGTCTTCAAAAGAGTCAGATAACATAACAAACAAAAGGGCAGCATATTGTAGGCCTCAGGGAACTGTACAGTTTAACAACAGAAATGTGGAGTAGAGATGAGCTAAAGCTGAATTAGCAAACTAGTCTAAATTGAACCAGACCTGCCTACTTTGTTGAGCAGGTTTTCTTGAAAACTATCTCTATTTGTGCCTTTATTCTAACTAAGATGGATTCTAATCAACTTATTGTACATTTCCCTGTGTTCAGGTACAAAGGGCGACGTCCCGAGTGCCATGCCCCCCACGTGCCCAACCAGCCATCAGAGGCTGCAGCCCATTTTTATTTTGAGCTAGCCAAGACGGTGCTGATCAAAGCCGGAGGAAACTCCTCCACCTCCATTTTCACCCAGCCCTCAGCCAGCGGTGGCCACCAGGGGCCCCACAGAAACCTGCACCTGTGTGCCTTTGAGATTGGCCTGTATGCTCTCGGCCTCCACAACTTCGTGTCGCCCAACTGGCTGTCCAGGACCTACTCTTCCCATGTGTCCTGGATCACTGGTGAGGGCTGTGTGTGTGTGTAAGAGAAGAAAAAAAAAATGCTTTCCTGCTTCCACCCTCTCACCCTCATCCTCTCTCCCTCTCTTAGGCCAGGCCATGGAGATCGGCAGTGCCGCCCTCAACATTTTGGTGGAGTGTTGGGACGGTCATCTCACCCCCCCAGAGGTGGCGTCCTTGGCCGACCGAGCGTCACGGGCCAGGGATCCCAACATGGTTCGAGCGGCGGCAGAGCTCGCCCTGAGCTGCCTGCCTCACGCTCACGCCCTTAACCCTAATGAGATCCAGAGAGCCCTGGTGCAGTGCAAAGAGCAGGTACAGTGGGAGAGGGTTTACAATTCAGTGATCAACCTGCTGCTGAGCACATCACATGCTGCTGAATGTGTTTGATCCCAACATGGATGCTTTTTCTTAAATGCATTTGGAACTTAAGTATTAGATTTATTAGTTAACTGAAGTGTTCATCAGTAGCAAACATTTTTTCTTAAAGTGGTCTTAAAATCATTTACTTTTCACACATTCTTGTCCCTCCAACTCCCTTGTCTGTCTCTTTCCAGGACAATGTGATGCTGGAGAAGGCCTGCATGGCAGTAGAGGAAGCAGCCAAGGGTGGAGGTGTGTACCCTGAGGTCCTCTTTGAGGTGGCTCACCAGTGGTACTGGCTATATGAGCAGTCAGTGGGTGGTGGGTCAAGCCAGCAGCGGGAGACCTCCGGGCGCTGTGGGGCCAACGGGGGTTCGGGCAGGAGGCCCCCGGAGTCTAGCTGCGTCGTCCTCGACGGTGGAGCCAACATGGAGTCTGCAGGAATGGCGACAGTCACAGCCTCAGTCACTGCAGCGGCCGTCGTACCCGTCATATCCGTGGGCTCCACAATCTACCAGTCCCATGCCATGCCTGGACAGGCCATGGCTCACCCCCACAGCCAGGGCCTACACCCTTATACCACAATTCAGGCCCATCTCCCCACGGTCTGCACCCCGCAGTACCTGGGACACCCTCTGCAGCACGTCCCCCGACCCACTGTCTTCCCTGTGTCTGGGGCTGCATATCCACAGGTCAGTCTTTATACAGTGAGTGGGCTTTTGTTGCAATTTTCTATTTTTCTGAAATAGCTAAGTAGTACTGAAAGTACAGTTTTCACTGTCTTCACATCAAGACACATGGCTGCAGGTCATTCACGTGCAGTCAGTGCACATAACCTGGCATGTTTGACCAAAATGCCAAATTCACACATTCAAACAGGAGGTACTGTATTAGGCTGCGACTAATGACTATTTTCCAGTGTTGGGCAGAGTACAGGAATCTATACTTCACAGGTAATGTAACGTCTACATTATCTCTGATATTATATATACGCTGACTCAATGTTACTTTCAGGATTTGGTTTTAAAAAGTGGCCAGGGATTGCCACTGGAGGCTGTTCTTTTTCTGGTTCAAAAGACAGGTGGTGCTTATTTTTCTTCCTGGAAGCTGCAACTTGGCATCTGCAGTAGAGGTGCTCCTCTCTAGCTCTACCTGTACACTCAATTATGGTTGCACAATTAATGGAAATAGTGCAATATCCAAATGGCAGAAGCTGCAGTTTGTTTGATAAAGGTAAAGTGTAAAGGTGAACACCAATTCTATAGCGCCAACTTTTCAGGTGTAGCGGCTACAGCTAGCATGCTTGGTCTAGTAATTGCGGCCTATTTAAATCCATCAACTATAGACATCCATTTGGGAGGCCATTCCAATTCATCAACCAAACTTATAATCATGACATTGTAGGACATTTCCAATGCAATTAGCTCCACATATGCAGTAGAAAATCAATAGCGCAATTCTGAGGGTTTCCAGCATCTCCATTAAATTGATCTGGTGTATCTGGTGCCCTTTTCTTCATATTTTCATATATTTCCTGTCCTCGTAATAGAAACCTATAATATTGAGAACATAATATAAATGCTTCCAGCCTAACAGCAAATCATTAGGATATCGACATGATAATACAGGTTTATTAACTGAATA